GTTTTAACCCAAGTCTACCCGAGCCGATCTAATCGGCGCGTGACGTGCAAAGAGTTACATGAAGGTTATATCAGAGAAGCTGAAAAGCCACAAGTTGTTCCTGATGTCTGCCCTGTTCTGTTCTCTGCTCCAATCGTCAGAGGCAACAGGTAGCGTATGGGTGTGGGCAGACAGTCTCCGTGTTGTACAGGACGCATAAACCGGCCCAGCAACATCGATTGAAATAGCGAGGCTTCATATGAAAACCAGACGTGATGGGTCAGTTCTCGTGTTAAAGAGGAGAACTTCGAAGCTACAATTTCAGCACAGAACATATCTAAATGATTTGAGGAAAAGATTACTATCCTCTAGATATTTATAGCCTATCACAAGATACATCGTTACCGAGGTCTCACAGTCTCCGTTACTGCCTGAAAACCTTAGCCAGTTTATCCCAATCTCTACATCTTAACACCTATTTCCGCAACCTTCATCTACAGCTAGATTTCCGAAGCAATATCTTCATATCAGGTTCTACAACGAAATCTACCGGGTAAACCTGTGCTTATGAGGTGGGCAGGGCATGTAGCACGAATGGGGAGAAGAGGAATGTATATAGGATATTGGTGGAGAAGCCAGAAGGAAAAAGACCACTGGAAAGACCAAGGCGTAGGTGGGTGGACAATATTCAAATGGATCCTAGAGAGATAGGATGGGATAGTATGGATTGGATTGTGCTGGCTCAGGATAGGGACCAGTGGAGGGCTCTTGTGAACACGGTAATGAACCTTCGGGTTCCATAAAATGCTGGGAAATTCTTGAGTGGCTGCAGAATTGGCAGCTCCTCAAGAAGGGCTCAGCTCCATGAAATATAAAACCTATGCTTAATTAAACATCAGGACATGGATATGTATGGGGAATGAAAGTAGAACTCCATAATTTTTAACCTCGACAATAAAAGGTAGTGAGTGTTCACTTCCTTCAGCTAGTTCCGATGTCAGAAATAGTGGAGCTACACCTCCTTTTCCTATATGTCTTCATGAGGTGGTGCTTAATTAATTAAGCACAGAGGAAACTTCACCTCTTATTTCCCTCCACCCATCATTCTTCGAGACAAGTTCAGTCTAGGCTCTGCTGTAAAGGCCATTTGCGCTCAACCAACTCCATAAAGCCTCATCATACAGTTCGCCTGCTCTGCAGAACAGAAATTTAATTTCCCCAACATCTGGAGCAGTACTTCATGCATTATTAAGACATAAGTTGCATGAAGGAAAGCAGTTCGCTGGGGACTAAACGGCGTCTCCTTCTTACGTATATCGCCGACACGTGATACAGCAGATGGCACTTTACGCCGTTCCCCCGCCGAGTGGAAAAAATTTTAAAATTTCATAGTGAATTTACAACTTGAACTTCAGCTAAAACTCTTGCTCTGCAACAACAGATACCAACTAGGGCCCCTATTTCATTTACTTTTCCTTATTTATTTACCTACTACGAGTCATGAGGTGGGAACGTTACCTCTAGACTACGGAGGCCGCTTTGATGAAACATTCTTTGAATATAAAAATCATAAGAAATCTATTTACAAATATATTGTCACATATTAGGGGGGTTTGCGTGATTTAAAAGACGGGTTTTGGATTTGATGATCGAATTTATTGAACCTGTATGCGCCTTGTTACAACATTTCACAAATCGCTCTCTTCGACTGGACAATCTCGACTTCTGACCACTCTACACCAATCCATTCCTCTCTCTCTCTCTCTCTCTTCTATCTGTCTAGCCAGCCTGGATTTCTCATTATATAACCTTGGGTCGAACCTCATGGAAGACACTTCCTCTTACTAGCAATGGACGTCTACTCTTGTCGCGTACTGTTGCAGCCTTTACCTAAGAACGAGATGTTTACCAAGAAACTGTCTCCACGGAAATGTGTTTATCGAGCTGTTGTCTAGCAACGGAACTATAGTCACAATATTATAATGATAAAGCAAGTTTATAAAGGAAACCCCACAAACAGTGTACAAAATTTCAGGGCTGTGGATTTCCTATTTGCTCAGGAAAAAATGTTCTTTAATGTGACGATATTAACCTTGAGGAGACATGACTTATCACCTCCTCTTAACGTATCGTTACACCAGCTTAAAACTCCGAAATGGACGCCATGACAGCGTTGCTACGGAAACAAGTAAACAAAGATCTCGGTAGATGTCTCCATCAGCGCGGACAGATCGAAGTCGAGCAGTACGCCTCAAACACCGCTCCACTTCAGACAGCCGAAACTCGCATCCCGTGAAATACGAGTTTCATTTGGGTTCCTGATTCCGTGCAGGGGCCCACAGACGGGCCATAAACCCGAAAGATTTACCTAAAAGTTCTGTTTTCTGACATATACAGGCCTCAGTGAGTACAGCGACAAGGCTGAGGTCCGAGTAACTGCGATTCAATTACCGGCAGGGGCCTTTTGCCCAGAAAATTTCTGAGGTCCACCTGACATCCGAAATGAGTACCGGTGATAAAGCGGCCGGAACCTGAAGCTGGCCACTCCTATCCATACATAACCGAAGGTAATCAAACTGCGGCCCTTAAGCACAAAAAATTCAGGTATAGTTGTTCATGTGCATAATTAAATAAGCATCACGCCATGAAAACGTGGAGGGAAGTGGAGGTACAGCTCCACCATTCTTGGCCTCAGTACTAGATAAAGGTGAGTGATCAGCTTCATGCCTCGGCCGCTTTACACCAGGAAACAACCCACCCACCCAAACCCACTGGACAGGAGGCTGGGTCAAGCCAAAGCCGGTCTGGACGTTAAAGAGAAGAGAAAATGTCTTGCCCCTACTGGGTATGTAGTCCCGGTCGTCCAACCAAGGCTAGCCGGTATACCGACTGAGCTACCCCAACCCGTGCACAGCGACCTTACCATAATGGGAACACAAATGTTTTCCGGTATGCAACCACCTAAAGTGTTTGATTCGCTCCCCGAAATGTTGGACCTTTGCCGCTTTTTCAGTTTCTTAATCCTATACACAGACGGTAGGAGTCCTTCGACGGGGGATCAGCCGGTCGCAAGGCCGCTACCTACACACAGGACAACACAAGCACAGAATAAACGCACAGAGACATTCATGTCTTGTGTGGGATTCGAACCCACGATCCCAGTGTTCGAGCGAGCGAAGACGGTTCATGCCTTAGACCGCGCGGTCACTGTGATCGGTTCAGAGTAGGAAATGTAATGTGACGTAAGTTTGGCCCATGTAGCTGCAGGCAGGTTGGTGTTATATACAGTCCATTCGCGGAGACGAGAGAGTCCTCGTAAACAAATGCACGCGGTATCTCCTTCGCTCTTTGAATGAAATCATGCAGCGATCACGTGATGCATGTACCGTTGCAGGGGCGTCCAAAGTTCACTCTTCAGTCTGAATGCAGTGAGTACACTGAGTAACTGCGCGCTTTGTCCACTCCTTGCTGTCAGCTGTGGCGACGCGGGGCTTGCTTTGTTTACGCTAACTGTCTCGTCTCCGCGAATGGACTATAGAAGAATTATGGGTACGCATGTATGTACAACAGTGACAACAAAATATATGTCTGTATAAATGCGGAAAAGTGCCAATGCGAATTCTGAATGCGATTTATATGCACTTGTAACCGTGTTTTCCTTTTTGGGTGGGCGTGGGGAGTCAAATCACAAAAATCCAACAGCTACAGTTATCCTCTTAACAGCTACATAAGCAAAGAGCGTTTTGTATTGAGTTCTTGAATGTACACCTGAATATAATTTAAACATTTTGAGCTCATCTCACGGAAACCACAATGAATCCCAATTACGAATACCGATTGCTTAATTCTATCTACTCCTATGCTGAGAACCACACAAAACAAACAAGTACACTCTGGACAAAATGTTAAAGCAATTGGTGCTTTAAAGGGTTCAGTTGTGAGTTTCGAGGTCTTCACAGTGGTAACTGTGGAGACTAGTGTTCTCCAGAATGTAATTCTGATAGAAAGCTTTCGAGAAACTTCTTGCCTCCTTCATTTACCTTGAAGAAGGAGGCAACAATGTCCGTGAATATCGTCGCATCTCAGTAGAGAGCGATCTTCAAGCAAATTTTGCAGTTAAACAAATGTCGTTAAATAAACTCACTGATTAACTGATTTTCTCTGGATGCCTCGTGTTTTCACTGTCCTCCACGAATTAGTGAGGCACGCGGTAGCGCAGTTGAGGCACTATGCTACAAGCCGGAAGGTAACGGGCTCAATTCCCGATGAGGTCATCGTATTTTTCAATTGACCTGATCCTTCCAGCCGCACTATGGCCCTGGGGTCGACTCAGCCTCTAACAGAAATGAGTACCAGGAATCTTCCTAGGGGTAAAATGCGGCCGGCGCGCAAGACTAACAACCTCATCGCCATCTGTGAGCTGAAATGTCTAGAAATTGTGGGAGCATCCACGTCTCACGTCCCTATAGGCCTACACGGCCTGTTACAGGGAGATGAATTTTACAATAAATTAGTTATTTCTGTTATATTATCTGTTGTTTTATTCAGTCAGTGTTTTAAGAATTGTGGAACTATACCTCCACTTCTCCACAGTCTTCATGGCGTGGTAACAGGTAAAGCTATCCCTGTAACAGGCCCTGAAGGCCCATAGGGTTGTGAGAAGTCGTGGCTCCCACATTTTCTCTAGACAATCGGCTCACAGATGGCGGTAAGGTTGTCAGCATTACGCACCGGCCGGCCGCCCTATATCCCAAGGAAGATTCCTGATACTAATTTCTGTTAGAGGCTGAGTCGATGCCAGGGCCATAGTGCGGCTGGAAAGACTAGGTCAATTGAAAAATACAATGACCTCATCGGGAATTGAACCCGCTACCTTCCGGCTTGTAGCATAGTGCCTCGACAACTACGCTGCCGCCTGTTCCCCTTCATAGCGTGGTATATATTTAATTAAGAACTGACACAATTTTGCTTTTTACCTTTGCATTTCCGCTTGTCTTGCCAACATCCGTTCTCTGTTTCAGGTTTCATCGTTGTCGCCGCGTGTGTCATGACGTTTGAAGCACGGGACAGCGCAGCGAAAGTAGTTCCTGCGAGGTTCAAATTCAACAACACGATAAAAGCGAGTCCTCTTTCGAAGAAACAGATGTCGGAAAGGTCAGACAGCCGTCGCAGCACCAGCTGCCAGACCAAGTGGGACAATCACATGGGTTTGTTCCGCGTATCCAGCAATAAAACCGGGAGTGTACGTGGTGACACCGGAGGTACCTCCCCATGTAGTAGCGAAGTCATGAACAGGCGTGCTCTTACAGCCACATTTGTCCAGTTCTCAAGAGCGCTACAAAACCGACAGCCATCAACAGATTCTGGCTCTTCGCGGCTCTGTGCTCAACCAATAACAAACGGGATCACTAAAAGTCCCTCCGCACCAAACCTCTCTGCAGACAACAGTCCACATTCTCCAAACCAAAACCAAACACTGATGAAACCACAAACTGTAAACCCGTCACCAAAATCAAGGTCCCGAATTACTGGGAATTCTCTTCACCCTACCGGCGGAGGTTGTGCCCTGCTGAGCCCTTATCTCCTCCAGAGGCAAGCCCTGTCGATGGACAACCCAACTTACGGCCCATGCGCGTACTACTCATCCCCACCTTTGCTACGTCGGCAAGGCAGTGGTCGCAGTACAAGAAGTGGAGGAAATATGAGTACCGGAAGTCGTGAATCACTTGAACTTGGCGCAAGCGCAGGAGCAAATTGCTCTCATCATGGCTCTCAAGCATCGATGGCAATGGACTTACATCTTCCAAATGACTGCCCAGTAACACTAAAGGTTACGGACCAATCGAGAAAATCAGAAACGGCAAAAAGACACTTGTTCGTAAGACAAAAGCCGGTTGAAGAAGACTTTCATGAGTTTTTACCATGTAGTGGTTTAGATTTTAGACGCGAATCACATTCATGTAGTCCGAGGTTAGGTGGAATTCATGTAAGGACACATGCAGAGGATATAAAAGTTCCACGTCCGAGGTCAAGGGCGAATACTGGCGAATCAAGGCATAACAAGCAGTCGCGAGGTAGGCGAGCGTCTGCTACATATTCGAGATCAAGCACAGATGAGACAAAGTCGCCTCATCCCAGGTCAAGATCAAACACAGGTGAATCTATGAGAAGTTACCAGCGCAGAGAGTCCAGCGCTGTTCATCCCAAACATTACTATGCAAGATCCAACACTGAAGATCCCAGGTGAGTGATTAAAGCCTGTTGCATATGGAACTACAGGGTTATGTGCATTCATAAGAAATCAAGGGATATCATGCCACTACAGGTCAGCTTATCGTTGTAGATTTCTAATTTCCTCCTATAAGTAATGCAAACGTGGCAGTCCTGTGAAATTCAGAGGTAGGTGTGATATGAGTACCACTTAATTTAGTGCCCTGGGATTGTAATATACATTTGGAAAAAAAAAATACGCAAGTTTCTTTAATAAATTTGTTATATGGCATACAGTGACACCGTGGTCATCATGAGATTTACATATGGTTCCCTCGTACTCATACCAGCTTATCATTCATAAAATGTTATTTCAGGTCACGAAGAAGTTCAACGTCTGACTTCACCAGCAGACGTCATCGAGAATCAAACTCAGTTCCATTCTTCACTAGATCAAATACTGCAACAAGAGATGAATATAAGAGGCTTCACTACCGAAAACACTCGCCCAGCAGATCACCATTTTCAATATCAAGATCCAACACAGAAGACTCGACAGCGCATCAACATGAAGATGTTTTTCAGGATATAGAAATGTCAATAGTCAGGGGAAAGCTTCATGAAGAGGACACCAGCTTACATGACCTTTTAAGAATCAGCGAATTAGAACGTCAGAATAAACAGAAATGTTATGAAAGCAATGACGCAGTATCAGAAAATGATAAACAGAAAATAAAGTCACATCAGTCAAGCAGTGATTCAACAGTACAATATGGCGGCAACGCAGCTGCTTTATCAGATGTCAGTAAACGTGCCTCAGAGCTCGATTTAGTCATTGAAATTGATAATGGTGAAACATCACATATTTAAAATAATATTAACGGTTGTGTAAATGCAAATTTAAACAAATACAAAACGGTTTCCGCAATGAAATTCATACCATTGTTATTTTTATGCACAAGACAATACCATAACCAAACAACACAACAATATAGTTGTCTCCTGTTACAAACAACCGAACATGTTTTCAGTCTTCCGTCTCGTCAAAGGCACATAAGACACTTAGCAACGTACTAAGGATGACAGTAAAACAAACTGTAGAAGAATACAGTATACATTTAATAGATGCCATCAGAAGAAGCAAGGCCAGATTTAAGGGGGAAAGGGGCTCCAGGCCCTTGCCCCAGGGCCTCCACAAAACAGAAATAGAATCCGCAGACTTTACTGAGACATCTGATTATTTTAAATCATTGTATGAACGATAACATTAAGTCATTTTAAAAAAATTTTACATTTCACAAAAAAAAACTTTTTAACCCCCCCCCCAATTATTTAATATTCTGATATTCTAGACATAAATGTTGTAGAATGTACCTGAATGGTGTAACAAGTAATATGGACATATGAACGTCAGCAGCCTACAATATTGTAAGTGGCCCTGATGACGAATCAAAAGATTTCAAATATTTTGGCCGGTTTCAAATAACATATTTTCGGTACTGTACTGGAAATGTGAAGAAAGGTAAAGCTATCCCTGTAACAGGCGTTCAAAGCTCCACATTTTCTACACAATTGGATCAAATTTGGCAATTAGGTTGTCAGCCTTATGCACCAGCCACTGGCCCTATACCCACAGGAAGATTCCTGGTACTCATTTCTGTTGGAGGCTGAGTTGACACGAGGGTCATACTGGACAGTTATTGAAATGTTCTGTAAATACACAGCAGCTCTTTGCTAAGGTTACGACTTGATCCATGTTGCCACTTTGGAAATAAAGGTTTCTACATGGGATGTCAGGCAGAAAGTAAACACATTTCAGCCCAGACACAAAGGAACTATAGCATTCAAAATGCAGGTGGAACCTCATTCAATGTCAGCCCTAACCGAATTTCCTTTCGGCAGAGCAACCTATGCAATGACAGTCATTTCCCACACCATCTCACCAACAATAGAACTGTAACATCTGCAAGGAACTATGTAGTATTCTTATGCAATTGTATCTACACTCTTTATGTACAGTTCAGAAGTTCCCAAACTTCTATACATTGTGCCCCCCCCTTAAAGGTAAGGTGAGGTAATTACAGTATGCGCCAAAAAATTACAGTACTGAAATGAAAAGACGTTCTGTTGATACCACTGTCTATTCATGCGAAGGCCCCTTGCATGACAGAACCTTCTCAAATCCTGAAGAAGCGGTCAGATTACCATGTCCCTGTAGCATTCTTGGGTGACGGTAAGAGCATTGCCTTCCTCATCCTCAATGAAATAGGGGCCTAATATACCAGGTGCTGAGACGGCACGCCATAACGTCACACGTGTACTGTGTAGCGGTTTCTGGACGGTAACGTCTGACCACTTCTGTATGAGCGGAAATAATACTCAGCTATGAATACTTTTTCCTCCGTCGAGAGACCCATTTCCAACAACTACATAACACAACTTCCTTTTCACTACTGGGAACATGTGCGACTGGAGCTATGCCCCGTTGACAAATGCACAAGTGCGTTCAAGATGCGCGAGTTTCAGTACTGTATATTTTGGCGCATACTGTACTAACCTGGCTCCTATATACTACATGAGAAAATAGTTTGTAGTACCCCATAGAACACACTGACCAGGAAACACTGTGTTACTGAACTCCAAATCAATGACTGGGATTACATGACTCAGCAGTATTGTTTGCAGTTCGTAACACTGACCGCTTACACACCCACGACTTGTGACTACATTTTACAGATCACTGACACACACACAGACTTGTGTCCTCCATCTATTACAGTGTCCACTAGCTGTTTCCTGGCAATGCATTTTAACACAGGAAATGTAACAGTCCCACTGAATTACACATTCCCAAATGTCACACATAAAGTCTACTCTTCACAGTTGGATTTCCAACTGAGCACCTCTTGCAACTAACTTGCAGCCATTTAACACCAACCTCCTAGTCTTCTCTTCACCGCCTGACTATCAACTGGCTAAGCTCTTAACCATCCTGGTTATAACATCTCGGCATTGGCCATGCAGGAAACACAGCTCTTCTACTGTTCTGTCTTGATTCATTGCTGCAGAGATCACAGAAAATACTGTTCCTCTGTTGCTGTACCATTGTTGAGCTCATGTCTGCTGCTGCGGGAACATGTTTACCAAGCCGTTGCCTAGAAACAGCTCTGGTATATTTGCTTATCCCGTGGTCAGTGCATAGAGACGGTTCTACACGTTACAATATTAATGTGTATAATTGTTAACTCCAGTCCTCTTGGAATTAACAGAGGATATTTTGCAGGATTCACAAAAGAAGTTCTGTTAAGAGACGTCATAATTAATGTTATTATTGTATAGATCAGCACAAGAAGTGGGTTTCACAGAGTCTGGAATCCACAAGCGTCAATATTCTAAAGTTATTATACTCTGTAATTTGTAGTCAGTTGTTAACATATACATGCATTATTGTTTGTGACTCAAGGCAATGCACAACTCAATGGAAAACACAGTAAGCAATAGTGTACCTAGACTTTCATTTAATTGAATGTATTGAAACACTGAAGATTACTGCCTTCTGAGATGTAACTCCATGCAGTCTAGTTGATATTCAAGACTTCTGGGATGTGACCAGTCTGACAGGTACCACACCCCACATCCCAAGACAGTAATCTTCAGGGTAGTTATTGCTGTATGAGTGCCAAATCCCATAGACTGAAACTCTAGCAAGTTCTCCATATTTCTGTACACTGACATGAATGCTGTCATCTGGGATGTGATACTGTGTAGTCTGCAAACTGTTTAGCCTTCTGGGATATGACAAAACTGTTAGGCTACACAACGCATAGACTTTAAAGGATTCTGGTGATTGTGTATGCTGTATAGAACTATAAGGTTTATTTTGGACTTTATCCATCGTCTGGTATAAGACAAAAAAGAACACGTTTCAGAGACTGGACCCGTCTCCGTCCTCAGGTGGATGGGCCAAGATAGACCTACTCAGTTGGGCCCATTAGAAAGAGCTAGTCTCAATCACTGGACGACCAACTGAGTAGGTCTATCTTGCCCCATCCACCTGAGGACAGAGATAGATCCAGCCTCTGAAACATTGTGGTTTTTTGTCTTATATATACCAGATGATGGATAGAGTCCAAAATATACCTTATGGTTCTATACACAATGCATATCCCACAAGGCAGCAACCTCAACATAGTCACTGGTGTGAGAATATCAAATCTCACAGGATGAAACAATAAGAGATGCTCTACAGTAACATGATTGCTGTCTCTCTCATATATAATTCGTATATATTATATTCATAATACCTCCACTCTCGTACTATGATAATGAAGGCTGCACGTTTCTCCAAAATGTTGGTTATCTCTCTACCAGACTTAAACAATATAATACTCCAGAAGATTATGATCTTAATACTCACCATTGTGAGAAGTCAAATATTATTTTTTGGTTTACTGAATATTAAAATAAACATCCATAATAATTAATTTTAGTAATCAAATAATTTTGAATTTAATAAGCCCCAGCATTAAATTCTAATGAAATCTCTGAAGATGTGCGATTCCTTTTTGGAATCCAAATGCAAGATTTAATTTAAACTGCCAAAAATGAACAAAATTTAAGTTTTGCCAATATGTTTTAGTGAAAACAGCAAATACTACAGTGTGTACAAATCTTTATTCAAACAAAGTGAACTGTTGAGGTAAACTAAAATTCAAACAACTGACAGTTTCATCAAAACACTTAGTACACGTTTGTAAGACAGATTATTGATGATGCAACTATTTGTGCATTACTGGCACAACTGTGTAAAATCCTACATCTGCTACAATCTTTTACATTTTTTCCAATATACTTTTAACCCTATCCATGCTACACATCTACTGATTGCATTTATTTGGTGGTTGAGAATATTTGTGGATGAAGTGTGTAGTGCCATTTATCAACAGCAAATGCTAACTAATTATGTATTCACAGATTTTCTTCAACTGAAGAAAAATTATACATTACCATGGAAACATTATAATACAGGGATATTCTTTAAATAAAGGCAGGCATGGAAAGGTTTCAAAATATCTATCACCGATTTACAAACAAAATTCTGTCTGGTGTTAAACAGAATTCCTAATAATAATTAATGTAACCAATAAATGAATGCCAATTACTGAAAATAAGAATTATTTTATTATAATTCATAAATGTTAGCATACAGCAATATTCATTTTATGTAAATACATTTACTCAATTACAATTACAAATACAGTTACACTAACATAATGTTTTCCATGCTGTGATTTGTTGACCTTTCTGGTGTACACAAAATTTGTCATGGATTCACATGGGAAAGAAAAAGTATAATGACAGATTTTGTGTACCATTATAACTAAAGGCATTTTTACAAGAAGGAATATAAGTTACACTGCAACATTCTTTTGTTTCACAAAAATTTTATTTTTATAGACTTTTCCAGTTACATGCACTGGGAAATGATCCATGAAATACTATATAATTTTGAATGTGAGTGGGTGTCTGGAAGGAGAATATAGATAAACAAGTAATAAACTGTTTAAAAATATATTTTAGGCTAGGATCTGTGTATTCTGGTTTATCAAAAATGGAGTTTGTGTAATGTACTGAAACACTGTTGGATTTTGTAGTGATATTTAATGTATATAGATGACATATTTTGGTGTTTTATAAAGAAAATGTATATCCAGAGGCCTAATATTACCACATTAAAGGCAAAACGGTAATCTGGAAAGCAGTTCTTATAGTACTTGTGACTTACAGGGTTAATGTGTGTCATTTAAAATTATGCATGTTCTGTTACTGTGATCAAATGTTGGAGATGAGAGAACGGTTACTTACAGACTCACTTGAAAAAATTCAAACTATTTCAGAGATATATGGTACTTCACCTCCAGGTTAGCAGCTAAACTG